GACGTGATAACAATTTCATCTAATAAGAATGACAAAAGGTGACACCGAGGTAGTAATGTGTACACAGACCCATGGATATAGCAAATGTAATGAGTGGATCACCTTGATACAATGGGTGGGGGATCGTGGCGTTTGGAGCCGTCGATGTTGAAGAGGTACCATTTCGTGGGGGCGAATCGGCCCTCGATCACATCTGTAGTTGCTGTCTTGTGGCTCCCGCGTCGGTTGATCTCCAGTTGTCGTGGATCTCTTCTGGCTTCAAACAAGGATCTGTTGGGGGAGGTGGTGTAAGCTTTATGACAAGGTGGGGATATTTATTCATGGGAGTGGGGGGGGGGGGAGGGGGTTAAATGCTTTGTGGAGCTTTGTAAAAAGGGGGAAATATATTAAATTCTGATGATTTAAAATTTGATGATAAAGTAAAGATCTGTACGCATGGATGACGATTAAAACATTGATCTTCTTCTACTTCGATCTTAATTACAGTGGTGAAAGGAATTCCCTCCAACACAATTAAGTATTACGTGTCAACTGGTTATGCGCCATATAGGCCGTTGACTCCGATTTCAACTTGCTTTTCTTGTTGGATTTGCTTCCCCAGCCTTTGCCCAACCAAGAACAAAATACAAGACAACAGTTGTTTGATTTTGGACTTGTTGTCCCCAGCTATCGAGCCTCATCTGCCCGACCCATAAAAGTTGATGAAACGGTGGAAATCTTTATACATAGCGGAAAGGGGGTGGGGGGGGGGGGGGTACCCTAGCACGTTGTAGAGATCTCTATACATGGGGGATGGTTTATATATTATCATACATGTCTATACATGGGGGATGGATTATATATTATCATACATGCAGAACAACGGTTCGAACTTAGAGGGAAAAACTTCACATCCGGGTGTTAAACTGTTATATTTTCAAATGTAAAGCTTGATGTGTTGTGAATCAAATGTTGCATGGTGATCTTTGATGTAATTTTTAAAACCACTCTCCAACAAAAAAAAGAAGAAAAAAAACTCTTGTTGTTGGCAATTAACAACATGTTAATTCTACAAGCTGGTGTCTACACTAACCCTAACACTAACTTATGACATTACGGATAAATAATCTTCCTTAAATGATACTATTATGTTCTTGTATGCATATACTTTAAAGTTTTCATTTAAGAGAAAAACATTTTTTATTCACTTTATGGCAAGTATTAAAAAACAACTCATTCTTTAACTGTCTTAATTTGCAGAATATTTTCATTTTTGCTTATAATAATATGTTCAGCTTATTGAATATTGATTGGCTACTTTTTTTTATAATAACTAGATCTATCTTTTACTTGAATTATCGTTCGTTGGTGGGTGAAAGTTTCTTGCGTTCGTGTGTGTATGTGCGTGCGCTTGTGTGTGTGTGCACGGTCTGTGCAGGTGTATGTGTATATATGTGTGCGCGCGTTTTCTATTTTGGCTGTCATACTTTTTGCAGTCATAAAAAAAAAAAATAAATAAATAAAACAAAAAAATGGTATGACTCTTCAGAGAAACGACGCGACCCTTGACCTCACTTAAACGACCTGGGAGAGGCCGTCTCTAGCAGACTGAGTCACCACTCTTCCAGACGTGACCTATATCTGAAGCCTCGACCTCCTTGTGTAGTTCTACTGACCGCCGTGTGTAGTGACCATAACAGGCATTGGCACTAAGAGCCGTGTTCCCTGTGTTAAGGACTCTGAGCAGTGTTTCTTCCAGGCTGTTTTCTGGGGGGGGGGGGCACTTGAAATTTTCGGGGGTGTCGGACTAATTTTTTTTTGGGGGGAGGGGGGACGGGGGACGGGACAGACACTGTTAAAACTATATATATTTTTTATATAAATTCCATTTCGTTGGGGGGGGGGGGGGGTGGACTTTCCTCGGGGGGAGAGATGCCTGGAAGAAACTCTGACTCTGAACTCTGCTGACGGTTTAATGACCAGTGGCGTAGCGAGGTCGGGTGTCACCCGGTGCGGCACTTAATGGTGTTACCCCAAGAAGCGTAGCGACCCTTCCTGGGGACAAACTTTCGATTTGCACCCCCCCCCCCCCCCTCAAGTTTTCGATTTGCAACCCCCCCCCCCCCCCCCTCAAACTTTTGATTTGCACCCCCCCCCTCAAGTTTTTCTCTATATATTTTGCTATTTTTTGCCTTGGTGTCACCCCCCCTAAATGGTGTCACCCGGTGCGGTCCGCACCCCCCCCCCCCGCACCCCCCCTCGCTACGCCTCTGTTAATGACATCTACTCTCTTGCCTGATCTATCTCACATAGGTGTGTCGTCACACCTAGGAATCGTCCACTGTACGAAATATCACAACCAGTGGCGCATTGGATGTCGCCTGCTAAAAGTTCTAGTGTTTTTCTATATCATATACATATTATTTGACAATTTACATGTTTTCAAATTTAAACTTTACCGTTTTGACTGGGGCCTGACAAGATTGTATATAATTTATTAAGACAACACTTACTAGTTATATTAGCTTTGTTATAACGTTGTTTAGAGTATAACTTTATACAATATAGTTAAAACCTATTTGGGAGTATATTCTTAATTAGTTTGAATTGAAGGCAAATGCAGGACATCTAACACAAAAGTTCTTTCATATTTAAACAAACCGTATGCTATAAAGTCTAGTGTTTTTATTAATTTATACACCAGCTTGGCGTTATCAAGTGATTAGCATGGATTAGAAAATCAATTACAAGTTAATTAAACGTAAATAGCTCGTTTTGATACGAGGAGGACCGGAAATGGAGTTTTTATAAACCGATCGTTGCAGACGCCAGAAGTAAATTGTCGTCTGCCGATTGTGGAGAAGTGATTTGTCGGCTCGCCAGTTTGGCGCCGGGAAATCAAATTGAGTTTTTCAATATTTAAATAATTGTAAATCCCTTCCGTGTTTTTTTTTCTCTTCTATTTCAGATTGTGATCCAGATTAGTAGTGATGGTGGAGTTGGTGTTGGAGGTGGTGGTGGTGGTGGTGGTGATGGTGGTGTTGGTGGTGGTGTTGGAGGTGGTGGTGATGGTGGTGGTGGTGGTGTTGGTGGTGGTGATAGTGGTGGTGTTGGTGTTGGTGTTGGTGATGGTGATGGTGATGGTGGTGTTGGTGTTGGTGTTGGAGGTGGTGGTGGTGGTGGTGATGGTGGTGTTGGTGGTGGTGTTGGTGGTGGTGGTGTTGGTGTTGGTGGTGGTGGTGATAGTGGTGGTGTTGGTGATGGTGGTGATGGTGGTGGTGGTGTTGGAGGGAGTGGTGATGGTGGTGGTGATGATGGTGGTGGTAATGGTAAAGGTGGTGGTAGTGGTGGTGGTGGTGGTGGTGGTGATGGTGGTGGTGGTGGTGATGGTGGTGTTGATGTTGGTGGTGGTGGTGGTGGTGGTAGTGGTGGTGGTGGTGGTGGTGGTAGTGATGGTGATGGTGGTGATGATGGTGGTGATGGTGGTGTTGGTGTTGGAGGTGGTGGTGGTGGTGATGGTGTTGGTGGGTGGAGGTGGTGGTGATATTGTTGGTGGTGGTGGTGTTGGAGGCGGTGGTGATGGTGGTGGTGGTAGTGTTGTTGGTGTTGGTGGTGATGGTAGTGGTGGTTGTGATGGTGGTGGTGGTGGGGGGGGGGGAGGGGGGGGAAACCTGAAGGGAATAATCGATCTATAAAAGGGAAGTGCGTCATTAATACGATTTTACACTCGATAAAGATAGCTGATTTGATCTACTCCACGAAGCAAGCAGGTGCTGTTTTTGTTTTAAGTATATCGAGCAACAGATCAATTTGGTGATAAATTTAAAATAAAAACAAAACACCGTAATTTTTGTTTACAATATATAAGAGAAAATAAGGATATATTTTTTCCATAAAGGGAGTAAAACATTATCATAATAAAACTTGAATAATAAAACTTAAAATCCAGACCACGTTTTTCGTGTGAGTACAACCCGGATGTTTAACTACAGTGTTTAAGCGGGAAGTGCCACGTGGTCGTGTAAAATCAAATGAGGTGTAACTTTTGTTACATTGTTGTGTGACTCTGGAGGTGGGGGGGGGGGGGGGGCGATATTTCAGTTGTGGTTTTTTGTATGAGGGAGGAGGGGAGTGTCATACTAGGGGTGTAGGGGTGGGAAGGAGTCAATGTTTCTGCCAGACTTTTTTCTCCCAGGGGGGGGGGGCACTTGAAATTTTCGGTGGGGGTGGACTAAAATTTCCGGGCAACCCCCCCCCCCCCCCCCCCCCCCCACTCTCGATAAGATGCCTGGAAGAAAATCTGGAAGGAGGTTGTAATTTGATTCAAAGAATTTCAGACTTTGATATTTTGAAGTGAGTAATGACGTATTAGAACTAATAATTTGTTTTTTTTTTAATACATGAGTCTCCTCTGGACCTATCTATAATGGCGAAATGCTTCTGTTTGTGTTAGACTCTTATATTATACTACAATAACAATCTTTACATCTGCCGTCCCTTCAAGTGTTTCTTTCAGACATGTTTCGTCGGGGTCACTTGAAACTTCCGGAATGGTGGAGAGGGGGGTGGGGTGGCAGAATTAAATTTCCGGGGAGTTTACGGAGATTACATTATATATTTTTTACAATTTTTTTTTTTCAATTCGTTCGGGATAGACAGTGGACGTGCTTAAGGGAAGGGGGGGGGGGGGGTGGGGAGGGCGTAAAAACGCCCTAAAAGAATCTTATGACCCTATGGGTAGGCTAAAGGAAAGTGACGTATCGGTTAAAAAAATTGACGATATTTTCTGGTGGATTGTAGAATAGGGGGAGGGGGGAGGGGGTAAAGTTACCCTGAAATCTTGTATACGAAACCATTGTCCCCGCTTTTTCCTTTAGAATATTCCAGACGGGTAAGTATGTGGGCTGGGGGGAGAGGGGGGGGGTAGCTCTCCCACTATAATTAATTGGAAACTTCCTCTTACCCCACTCCACCATCTCCTCCCAACCACGATATGAGGGTAGGAATGATGGTGGGAGGGGGGGGGGGGTGGGGTTACTTTCACACGTAACTGGAAGCTGAATTGTTAACTTTAGGATCACTGGTTATTGCATGCAGGTGGCTTTTGTCTTTAAAGCAGAGGCGTGGCGAGGGCGTGACGGGGGGTGCGGACCGCACCGGGTGACACCATTTAGGGGTGGGGGGGGGGGGGTGACACCAAGGCAAAAAATTGCAAAATGTACAGAAGAAAAATTCCTTTTACCAGATCCATTAATGGTTAATTCAAGTTAAATATTCTATAAAGTAAAAATTGACGTAAACGCGATAACTTTAGAGAAAACAATGCTACATCCAACTGTATTATTAACAGACTTTAGATAAACATCGCTGCTATTAAGTCAGCAGTGATTAAAGCTTATGCACATGTAGGCCTATGTATCGTATGTGGCATATGTTTAAGTTATAGACCTATGTATGCCGACACACACACACGTATATATATATATATATATATATATATATATATATATATATATATATATATATATATATATATATATACTTTCTTCTGGGGGGGGGGGGGGGTGACACCACGAAGTGCCGCACCGGGTGACACCCGACCTAGGGACGCCACTGCTTTAAAGTGTACTTTCTTAGTTAAATTAGAACAAAAAAAAACGCCTGTTATAACTCTCATTTAATACCCAGCGTTTTCTTAATAAAAAAAAATATTAAAAAAATAAAAATAACAGGGAAACGTGACAAAATCGTGCATGAGTAAAAAAAAAAACAACTCACCCGAGGCGCTGGCGAGAGGCAGCAGCGCCGTCACCATGGCAACGGTCAGAATCATGTAGACGGACAGACCGTGAGACCTAACCACAGCAGTCAAAAAACAACACAGAGATCTAAATGCAAGTCCAAACTCCATGTCTGAAAAGCCGGCTCTTAGTACTCTCACTTCCGGCATGCCGTGATAAGAAAAAAAATAAGATTCCGGTCTTTGATGACGTCACGACTGAAGACCGTTGGAGAGAAGGGACGGAAAAAAATGGCCCTCCCCCCTCTTATCACGCCTAATTGCCAGGTCCTGTGCGGGCTGGTGTTGGCTCAATCCAATTAATTAGGACTCTTCATAATGACGATACGCTACGCTCTGCTCAGCGTCTTCGTGGTTGGACGCAGGGGAGGCAAAGGGCAGACAACTTGCTGGTTAATTGTTTCTTGAGAGTTGCGCGACTTGAGTTTTTCTTCTCTTGGTGGAAAAAAAATTATTGGCGAACTGTGGATAAAATATAAATCTATACTAAAATACGTTGACCATCATAAATTTACAATACAATATAAGCCTACAAAAATGATTACATTTATTAATATTAAACAGTAATTTAGCAAATAAAAAAATTTTAGCCGATGTTTTTTATTTTTATTTTTCATAAAACTAACATATCAACTTAAAAATATCGAATAAAAACTAAATATCAGCTTAAAGCAAACGTATCAAGTTAAAACACACGAAGTTTTATTCATAACATGAGAACCTCAACCACATATAAAACAAATGTTTTTCTAATTATTGAACCCACAGTTCGTATAATGTGCATTACTCACCAACAACATACATATAGCATAACCAACAACATACATATAGCCTAACCAACAACATACATATAGCCTAACCAACAATATACATATAGCCTAACCAACAACATACATATAGCCTAACTGACAATATACATAAAGCCTAACCAACAATATACATATAGCCTGACCAACAATATACATATAGACTAACCAACAATATACATATAGCCTAACCAACAATATGCATTAAGCCTAACCAACAATATGCATTAAGCCTAACCAACAATATACATATAGCCTAACCAACAACATGCATTAAGCCTAACCAACAATATACATATAGCCTAACCAACAATATACATATAGCCTAACCAACAACACACATATAGCCTAACCAAAAACATACATAAATCACATAGATCTAGTCCTGCGTTCATATAACGCACATAACACAATATTTAAATCGCATGACATTTTACTACTTTCATTAACATATGTTAATATTTTTTCGTTTCAAAACAACCAGTCACATAAATTATCCTAATAAATTTCAGAAGAATCTCTCAAACATTGATTACTCCACCATTAGAAGCATGTAATGTACACTAAGTTTAAAGTGTCGAAAGTATCTCTACAAAGTACAAGCCTACTTAAGTGGAACACCGAATAATGAACAAATCTACAAAGAGCGTCATCGATCATGACAAAACTCACGGAAGTTTATCATCAACACTAACTAAACCTATGAAACTTGAGCATCAATAATGACTAAACCTACAAATGTAGAGCATCAATAATGACTAAACCTACGATATTTTAGAATCAATAATTACTAAACCTACGAAAGTTGAGTATCGATAATGACTAAACCTACTATATTTGAGAATCAATAATGACCAAACCTACGAAAAATTAGCATCAATAATGACTAAACCTACAAAAGTTGAGCATCAATAATGACTAAACCTACAAAAGTTGAGCATCAATAATGACCAAACCTACGAAAAATTAGCATCAATAATAACCAAACCTACAATAGTCGAGCATCAATAATGACCAAACCTACCAAAGTTGAGCATTAATACTGACTCAACCTACCAAAACGGCTCACCAGACAGACGCTCAACCCAAACGACGAGCGCGGACATGCACGCACGTGCTGTGAGTAGCACCGGTCAAATGCATGCACTTAAGCCGCCTGAAGATTTGACGTCTTAAAATAGCCGGCGACGCGTCACTGGCTAAACAGGAAATCTGGGCACTTAAGAAGTGAAATAACGTTTGTTTACTGAATATTATAAGTAGCAAAATGACGTTTGTAACTTAAGATTATAAGTAGCCAAATAACGTTTGTTTACGGAAGATTATAAGTAGCAAAATGACGTTTGTAACTTAAGATTATAAGTAGCCAAATAACGTTTGTTTACGGAAGATTATAAGTAGCAAAATGACGTTTGTTTACGGAAGATTATAAGTAGTGAAATGACGTTTATTTACTGAATATTATAAGTAGCAAAATGACGTTTGTTTACGGAAGATTATAAGTAGTGAAATGACGTTTTTTTACTGAAGATTATAAGTAGCAAAATGACGTTTGTTTACGAAAGATTATATCTTGTTTTCACATGCAATCAAATTAAGAAATAACATCTTTAACACAAGAAATCGAATTAAGAAATCGAATGTAAAGCGTTTTAAGAAATCATATCTTTAACACATCAAGAAATCGAACCTTTAGCACGTTATGAAATCACATCATTAGCAGGTAAAGAAATAGCACATTTATAAACCAAAGTTTCGCAAAACAATCGCACATTTAGAAATCAAAAGTAAGCACAACAAGAAATCAATCCTTTTTCCCACATTTGTTTCTATTTTTCTAAGAAAGGATGAAAAAAAAATTAAGATCGTCAAAAGGACATTTGACGCGCATACATTAATTGGTTCTTAAGCACCGCAGGCCTAATCAAGTCCCCGTGTTTAATTATTTGTTGTCAAACACTTCACAACTTACGCAATCAATGAGGAGTGTGTACACCGTCGTGTGAGACGTGAGCTTCCCACTGTGCTGTTAAATGTTGACGTCACTTTGTTATATTCTACACATTCAGCTGTCAAATCCCACACAACTCCGAGAGCCGTAACGCTCCCTAGTTACACAGCTTCCACAGCTGTAATGTTCCCTTTCTTAACGGCTGCTGGAATGTTCCTCTTTGTAGCAGCTGCTAGAGATATAGATATTTCTAGCTTCACAGCTGCGGTAGTAAAATATAGCTTAGCTTTACTGCTGCAAGCTGTACGTTTCCCGGCTTCAAACGGCTGCAAGAGCTGTAGGTTTTTTTAGTACTACACGTGCGAGAGCTGTAAGATTACTGCTCCGGCTTTAGACGGCTGTGAAAGCTGTAGGTTTTTCTAGTACAACGCGTGCAAGAGCTGTAGAGTTACTGCTCCGGCTTCAAACGGCTGCGATCTTTCTAGTGCCAAGCGTGCAAGAGCGGTAACGTGTTTGTCCCTTTAACAACTGAACGACTTATCAATTCCCCTGGCCTTAAAGGACCGCTACAGTGCTCACTCTGACCTGCTTACATGCACGACCGCTCAACTTATCAGCCACACCGCGCACTGTCGCAGTTCAAAACTACACACCGGTTAAATACACCGGCTATTTTTAAAACAACTATTTATACCTTTTTCTTTCTTCTTCAACCAACGAAAATGAATTAAAATGAATTTTAGTCGAAAAAAAAAATAAACCGGGAGTGATCTCCCCTAAACTTTCTCGAATATTCTTATATAAAACAACAGGGGATGGGAACTCATGCTATAGACATGATTTTTAATCAATTTTAAATACTTAAAGTTTTAAAAATAGAATAAAATCTCTTAGACAAATGAATTGCACACCAAGTGAACGCTAAATAAATGAGTGTTTAATAGTGCGCAATATTATTAGTACTTTTAAAATTTACATTAGTTTTTTGAGAAATCGGAAGTAGCGTAAATTACTACTTCCGGTCAACGGAAATTACTCAAAATTTAACAGAAGGTAGAGAATTAGATTTTTTACTTACATGTGAAATTTCATTTATCTATGTGAAATAATACTCAAGTTATAGGCTTTTTAAAAATTCAAAGTAGAAAAAGTACCACTTCCGGTTATCGGAAATCGCTCAAAAGTTGATACGGATCTACGATTTTGATAAAATACTTATATATGAAATTTCATCAACCTAGCTGTAACGGTACTCAAGTAATCGTGTTTACACACGGACACACACACACACAGACACACAGACATACGGACAGAGTTGCAAAGCCCAGTTTTTCAGACTGGATTACACACAAAACCTCTTAATTTTGATACATCTGGATTGATAATTTTTGCCCGATTAAAATAAGTCCTCTATACTTCGGATGTGATGAAGGACTGAGGTGTAATACGGTGAAAATTGTTAAAATTTCAAGTGATTTTTGTGCACGATTACAATACTTTCTCTATACTTCGTATATACGAGAAAGTAACAATGGTCGGTCTAAAAATAGTCTTCGCAGTGTCATAAACACGAGCAGGGGAGGGGAAGTAATTAAGATGAGCTGAATAAGGCTCCGCCCATGCGTAGAGACAGACAAACGATGCTTATGATGTCACGTGCTTTTGTCCACCACGCCCTGCTTATAATAGAAAATACCCTACACCTCTTTACCTAACTTATAATACCCCACTCCAACATACACATACAATAATACACGCACACTCATACATTTACTGGGTCGCAAAAAAAGGCAAACAATTGTTCACCGTCTACATATTAAATCTTTTGATATTTAACAACGATCGATTGCAAAACAAGAAAGAACTGCCTTACCTACTAGAACCATAATTCCATTTATAAAATTTAAATTTCTAAAATCAATAAAAATAATTAACAATTTTACATAAATTTAGCGCGATGATTGTGGATTGGAAGTCTTATGTTTGGAAAAATATTTTTAACATTTCCATTTCTTTGAGGTCTTCGAAAGGTTGTAGGTATTGGATTCAAGAAAGTAGAATGGGGGGAAAGGGGGAGGGGAGGGCGATCTTTACCCTGATCTTTACCATGATCTTTCCTGTGATCTATACCGTGATCTACCCCATGAAGTCACCCCGCCTCCAAAACTAGTTTATGTTGTGTGACTTCAACTGGTTTGCACTTGAAGCACAAGGTGTAAGACAGGGCAGAAATGGAAGTGTTGGGCGTGAAACATTTAAACAACATCCGTAATTTATAGTAGGCAATGTAAACCTTTATAGGGCGGGGTTAGTTTCATTGGCTTTATATTGTTTCTAGATGAGTACACACACACACATATATATATATATATATATATATATATATATATATATATATATATATATATATATATATATAAAGCCAATTTTACATAATTCTGACTTGGAACTAGTACATTATTGAATATATTAACACATATATTTATTGTATATATACCGATACGTACAAATGTATATTTATATTTACCTATAATTAAGCATACAGAGTTTCTTCCAGGCATCTCTTTACCGCCCCCCCGAACGAAATGAAATTTATATAATTTATATAGAAAATATATACTTTTAACAGTGTCCGCCCCCCCGAAGAAAGTCTACCGCCCCCCCCCCCCCCCCCCCCGAAAATTTCAAGTGCCCCCCCGGAGAAAAAAGTCTGGAAGAAACACTGTAAGCATATCTATAGGTATATATGTGTATATATATATATATATATATATATATATATATATATATATATATATATATATATATATATATATATATATATATATATATATATATATATATTCATAAATTGAAACGCACAAACATAATGGTTGTATAGACCCTAATAGTAATAGCCTTAAGTCCCATGTTTTCTATTCTCAATAAGTATTTTATCTCGAGCGAGGGCTGAGGGCCGATTAGAGTCCTAAAGAGACCGGCAGACCGGCTGATTGCCGGCCTGTGCCTAGCATAAAACAGTGACAGATGAACAATAGAGATCTCTGGCCGGCTTATCTGGGCACTGTCTGCTTACATTTGTGTGTGCGGCCAAATAGTCCAAGGGCTCGGGTTTCTGCTGCGTTCTTCTAATACTTAGACAAACACAGGGATTCATAAGTTATTGAATCGTGTTATCTTGTATGTAGTTATTTAGATTTTATACGATCTTTTAAGTGTGGTGTATTAATTTAAAATAAATTTAAAAAAAAACAATGCACTTATCACAGAGGCTTAGCGAGGGGGGGGGGGGGGGGGGCGGGGGTGTGGACGCACGGGATGACACCATTTAGGGAGTGATACCAAGGCAAAAAATAGCAAAATATATAGAGAAAAACTTGAGGGGGGATGCAAATTGAAAACTTGAGGGGGGGGGGTGCAAAACGAAAACTTGAGGGGGGGGGGGGTGCAAATCTAAAGTTTGAGGGGGGTGCAAATAAAAAAAATTGAAAGTTTGTCCCCGGGAAGGGTCGCTACGCCTCTGGCGGGAGGGGGGGGGGGTGACACCATTAAGTGCCGCACCGGGTGACACCCGACCTCGCTACGCCACTGACTAATCAGTTACAAGAGTTGATGAAGTATCCTTCATCTGATTCACCCAGTCGCCTTAGTATATGGGTGTATATCATACAGACTCGAACCCGCGTCTATCTTTAATTTCATGTTAGTGATCATTCGCTCTACCGCACGACCACGCTATAAATAATTGTTAAAACAGGTACCATGGATTATTCTTTTTTTTACACTCTACAAATCATATTCCAACTCAAACTTGGACTCCGCCCCAAATAGCGTGGACCTTGTGAGGTATAAAATGAGAACCGTCTATGTGTTATGTTAAAGATGTGAAGAGGAATTTCTACAGCGTTTCTTGCCGTGTCCTACCTAGTAATATGGCTACATTTCTTAGCTCATTACTAGTAATATGGCAACATTTCTTAGCTCACTACTAGTAATATGGCTACATTTCTTAGCTCATTACTAGTAATATGGCTGCATTTCTTAGCTCATAACTTACTTACCTAGTATAGGGCTACATTTTTTAGCTCATTACTAGTAGTATGGCTACATTTCTTAGCTTGTTACTAGTAATATGGCAACATTTCTTAGCTTATTACTAGTAATATGGCAACATTTCTTAGCTTATTACTAGTAATATGGCAACATTTCTTAGCTTATTACTAGTAATATGGCAACATTTCTTAGCTTATTACTAGTAATATGGCAACATTTCTTAGCTTGTTACTAGTAATATGGCAACATTTCTTAGCTTGTTACTAGTAATATGGCAACATTTCTTAGCTTGTTACTAGTAATATGGCAACATTTCTTAGCCTATTACTAGTAATATGGCAACATTTCTTAGCTTATTACTAGTAATATGGCAACATTTCTTAGCTTATTACTAGTAATATGGCAACATTTCTTAGCTTGTTACTAGTAATATGGCAACATTTCTTAGCTTGTTACTAGTAATATGGCAACATTTCTTAGCTCGTTACTAGTAATATGGCAACATTTCTTAGCTCATTACTAGTAATATGGCAACATTTCTTAGATCATTACTAGTAATATGGCAACATTTCTTAGCTTATTACTAGTAATATGGCAACATTTCTTAGCTCGTTACTAGTAATATGGCTACATTTCTTAGCTTATTACTAGTAATATGGCAACATTTCTTAGCTCACTACTAGTAATATGGCTCCATTTCTTAGCTCACTACTAGTAATATGGCTACATTTCTTAGCTCACTACTAGTAATATGGCTACATTTCTTAGATCACTACTAGTAATATGACTACATTTCTTAGCTCACTACTAGTAATATGGCTGCATTTCTTAGCTCATAACTAACTTACCTAGTATATGGCTACATTTTTTAATTCGCTACTATCCTACCCGGTATATTGCTACATTTTTTGATTCGCTACTCTTACATATTTTATCGTAATGATGAGAAATTTTTCCATTAGTACATTTTTCGTAGACATTATGCTGTAAAGTAGAACAGAGAAGGGAAGTAATAACACTTCGAGTTTAAATATTGTATTAGATTCGACTAAATAGCATCAACATGCTTTTAGTTCTATTATTTAGTATGTATTAACTGACATATATTTAAAATATAAAACATATCATGGTCTATACACACACAAAATTGAATATATTTTTTTTAATCTGCCATTTTAAATGTAGAAACAATAAAAATAAAATATTATTTATTCTGAAAAACAAAAGAAAACCATATTTAAAAGTTGCTAGACACCCAATAACTAGTTAATTTTTTTAAAAGTAACGTTTTTTTTTACTTTCTCCATTTAATTACTAAATATACAATTTACGTTAATGTCTATGAAACAGTAGAAATCTACAAAATAAAATATTATTATTATTTTAAATGTTTAAAATAATTTTTTTTTAAAAATGTTTAAATACACAAATGTATTTTTTTTTTAAAAAGTGGGAGGACTGGTATAGAAATCTATATAAGATGTTTGAACGGGAAGAATGATTGATGAGTCTCATTGTAGTCAACATATTCCATCGACTTTTAATATTTATATTATTATTTT